AGCCAGATCAATCAAGGGAATTTTTTCCACAGATCTCACTTCAGAGTCTGAGCAGAAACTTCAGTTCAGGAGAATACTTTAAAATAGGTTTAATTTTCATAGAATTTAGTTTGCACAACTCCAAGCATATGCCAACACGCAGTCCTGCATTTTTCTTGAATAATTCCTTGAAAAGCAGCTTTTTTAATTTTGTTTTAAACTTGAAAATGGAAAGTAATTTTTTAATCTTTATTATCCAAACAGTTACCAGCTCCATCACAAACATGCATCCATATAGATTCGGTATTTTTAAATGCATTATTGACTGATTTGAACATTTGCTATTGGCTATGCAAGTGACCTCAACACAGCAATTCAAATCCTACAAGTTTTTCTGTGAAACAGAGCCTTCAAGCAAAGTTCCTCTGAAAATTCTGATTTTGTCTTTGCCAAATCCTGCAAAAGAGCTCACCTGGCACAATGTGGGGCTTGGCCAGTTCCTGCTAACAACAAAACCAAGGGGAACATTGAAGACACTAATCAAAGCAACCAGGTTTTCACTGGACTCTCCCAACAGCTGGTCAGAGAACAGTTGTGTACTAATCTAGAGGAATTTTAGGTGAGAAGTCTAATCCTGATTTCCTGCTTTATTTCTTGCATCATCACTGGGCGTTGTACCTTGGGTTTCTAGCTCTGGTTCTTCAGTTAAGCCACTAAATCCAACATGTGGATGTGCTAACAGGGGAATATGCTCTTGCAAAGCATGGCTTTAGCATGCTTAGCTAATGCTTGAATTCATGGACAATTTTTGCAAGAAGAGAAAACAATTTTGAACACTGCAGAAACAATTTCAGTAACATAAACCTAAAGGGAGAATTTTATTCCTTAGAGAGTTAAGCGCTTTTGATACTCCCACTGCGAGGTGCCCAGCTTAAAAACCCCAGGCTGATAGTGCCGAATTCAGGTGGATGGAAGAGAAGGCTGTTTTCAAATTACAATTAATTCCAAAAGCTTCAGTTACAAGACACCAGTATGGGAAGGCTCTGCAAACAGTAAACACTAGTTGTATTTCAGCATGAGTCGAAATGCCAGGCACAGAGGATCTGTCCTCAGAATGCTGGACCATGTGTGGTCCCTGGTACAAGGTTTGTTTATTCCACTGCAGTTGCATCGCTGGCAGCCACCGGTTCTGTGCATCCTAACAGCAACACCATGTCATTCAAAGGCCTCTAACATGAGCTTTCCTGCTTTCATGTGATCAGAACTTGAAGCAATGGGTAGAATGCATTTTAGGCTAAAGAAACTGAAAAAAAGGAGAAGCAGCTCTTAAAATTCACATCTGCAGTATTTCTGTCAGTGTTTAAGATGCCACGGCCTTTTCAATTGGCTTCTTAACACTGATGTGACAACGAAAGCCTGCAAAGAAAGGAATCAGAAGAGCTTTATTCCTAGAGTTCACCAGCCATCTTCTCTCCTGTCTAGCACTGATGTAAATGAAGAAGATTGCCAGAGTTGGCAGATCCAAGCTATGAAACAGGCACAGAGGCAGGGGACTGATTTCACTTCAAAGCATCTTCCTTTCACTCCGCCCTTTTGTCTTCCTCCTCTGTTGATTGCCTTGGAGCAGCAGGGAGGGTTGCAAGTGAAATTATCCCTGAAGATGGACCATTACCAGCTTTTCTGGCTGGCTGGGGAAGTGAGCAGCACCAGCAGCTCGCAGTGTCGGCTCCCTCACAAGGATCATGGCTGTGCCTGGAGCGACAAACACTGTGAAGCACAGGTGCCCATAGTGTGACACTGCACTTGTATCAACCTGCTGGAGCCACTCTGGTATTGCCCAAAACCTGGCAGGTGGTGGGCTCTCCTCTAAAGTTGGGCCTTTGCTCTTTTGGATACACAGACACCTCGGAGGAGATTTTATGTCTGCTACTGATGCCAGTGATGCCAAAACACTAAACTGCATTTTAGGCTGTAGGACCTGCTGGAACAATGAAGTACCTGATTCTGACATTCATGGCAGTTTGCAGCCTTTGTCCACAGAAATACTCTCTGCCAGGGACCACTACTGAGGTGGTCTCAATGAAACAGCCCTAACAATTCTCAGGGCATGAGCTACCCCTCAGGTCCTGCCAGTCATGGCTGAACATGGCACATGATGTGCCATGGCTTACATGATCACACATTACCACACAAGACTTACAAGGCACAAGGCTTACATGACCATACATTTCCACAGACCTTCCTAAATTACTACTAGGATGGACTTTGCTGAGCTTCACATAGGTTTGGTTGGTTCACATTCCCAGATTGATGTAGCCTCTCCTGTAAAGGTTTATAGACAAGAAGTAAAACCCACAAATTCTTTTCAAAATATTCTGACATGGAAAGTCCCAGAGGGCTTTCTTTGACATCTCCTGCACTTACGATATTCTCAGTAATGCCAAGCAAGGTGTACTTACACAGTTCCAGTGGACTTAACCAAGATTTGCACTGGATAGGAGACACCTGAGATTCAAACAGTAAATACATACACATACTGGATCACAGCATGAGTCACAGTCTATGCAGAAAGGAACCAAAGACTGTTACACAGTGGGCATCATTTGCAGCATTGATTTTAATGTGAAAAAATGAAAACTAGCAAGGCTGGGCACAGCAAGCACCCACACAGCCCAGCAGACTATGAAAAGTGACATATGAGCCAAAATTGAGAAGTATATACCTCATTTAATTATATTCTATACTGATTTCCATCCTAAGGTTATAATTCAATGTGCATTTCTCCAAGTTGTATGTGTGTGCCTAAAACACATGTGCACCCCCCACAGACAGGTATTCAATTATAGGCTATTTTAGATTGTGGGTTCTTTGTTTCCCAAAGCCTTAACATCCTTGTTAAACCGTTTTAGCCATTGGTTGGCTTTCTGTATACTGGGGTTTAGATTTTCACTTACATAAGCTGTGAAGACAGAAATGGTTTTGATCAGCTAATTTAATCAAATTTCACAGGACTCATGAATAATACTGAGATGGAATCTAGTTTCTTGGAGAAGACTGATGTTTACTAAATTAAATATAGCCCAACTGTGCACCACTTCATCCCAAGTAAGGAAAAATATGACTGGCTATCTTACTAAAGCTGCTTTGGGATGCAGTTTTCAATCATCACTGACATAATGATGTTTATCACATTGATCAGGAACAAATGGAAAAGCATGAATTGCTCCTTCCCTATGTCTGAAAACAATTCAAAAGGAACCAAAAAATGTTTGAAGAAAACTGAACTTGGGTACATACATCCTTTCGTCTTGCTGTGGGAGCTAATATTTGCCTTCTTTGCTTTCGGGGTGTGATTCCAAAAGTACTCAGTTCTGGTTCCTCCGGAGTCACCAGTAAAACTTGCATTAGTGAAAAAAGGTAGTGTTGATGTTGGTTGCTTTTTTTAAAAAAGCTTATTACCTTGGTGTCGCAGAAGCATTTGTCTTGAAGAACTGGCAAAGGTTAAAAGAAAACCCAGTAACAGAACAAATGAGTAAGAACAGAGTCTTTTCCTTGAAGTAATGACTCATAAAAGGATATAGGCATTCCCTCACCTTCAAAGGTTTTATCAATTCTGCCTAGAACTGATCATCACCAGTGATGAGGGTTTTTTAACATGCAAATAAGATAGCTGGCTGCATTTACAAATGTGTCAAGTTTCCAGCCAGAAGGCAGACAAGATGAGCCTCAGATCCCGAGCTGGAACATCAAGGAGCAGTGCAGTTTGGCAGGCTCCTGGAGGAAGCCTTATCTCAAGTAGCTGTGCTCTGGTTTTGAGGGTAACAGTGAGATATACAAAAGCAAGTCAGCCTTATATAAAATCTGTTACAACACAAAGCACCTGGTTAAAAATACGTCGCTGCTTTGAAATTATGGGTACTTGTCAAATGGTCTTTGTCTAGAGTCTCAACCTTTTTTATTTTTCATGAGTTCCCAACATACAATCAAGTTTTTCCTTGGCTGTAGTGAAAGCTAAAGAGGACACCGATCATTTAAACATCCTTGAGGGACACCTTCTCATATGGTAAACAATCCAGAACGCCCCTATATTGGGAATGTTCAGAACAATGTGTCTGCTGTGGTGTCACTTCTGACATCTGATATAAACTTCTTCCCAGCCTATATCTAAATTTCAATGTTGATACATCCTGAGGGTACTGTTTAATAGCACAGTATTCATTCTGAATGCACTTTACTACATTACAGAACATTTTACTTAAATGCTCTGTATCACTGTCATCACCGTTCACTAGAATTCAGCATCGCTGCAAGAATCATAAGAATCATCATAATACTACTGAAGGTGAATAACTCTAGGGAAGGAAAATAGATAAATGGATCAAACAAATTAATCAAAGTACACAGATATTTCATGTTTGGAATCGAAAGCACTAAAATAAAGAGAATGTAATAAAACCAGAGACTTATTGGCTATATTGTGAAGAGCACCACAGCCTTTCCAAATTCTCTCTCTTTCTTCAGGGATATACACAAAAGACAACAGGATAACTATTTCTTTGAGGTTCATTTCTCATCTAAAGTCAAAATATTGATGAGCTTGTACCAGCAAGCTGCTTACTCCAGCACATAGTTATGATGCCATAGATAGACCATTGCAATTCAAGGTTCCTGCCTGAGCAGCAGGAACAAATGCAAAGCAAACAATAACATCTGTGCTTCCACAGTAGCACAGTGGCTTTAGCAATACACAGAAAAAAGAATGTGCAGAAGAGAGGAAGTAGATGAGAGAAAGTTCAGAAGATCTGTGATGTTCACAAATACTCTCTACAGACACAGTGTTTTTAAGATGAGACTAAGTGGTCCTCCAAGCCATGTACAGACACAGAAGAATGCAGGGAACAATGAAGGGAAAATTTATAAACACAGTTCTCCATAACAGAGGATCAGGGAAAACTTGTGGCCATATTTATACTGTTTCATGCTGAGTGGATGACAATGCTAAGAATAAAAGGAGTACTTACATCCTGAGCTGCCATTCGTTGGAACCAAGGTGAAGTTGGAGGCCCAGGGGTTACGCACGATATCCTGCCAATGAATGGTGTCTGCGAAGCAAAGGAATTTGTTCTGGCCAACATACACCCCTCCATTCAGTATTTCTGCATAAAAGAACAAGAGAAGATACTTGTAAGACTTTAGACAGACAGCTGATTGAATCTATTGCTGCTCTGTGTGCTGGAGAGAGGACGTGAAATTTAAATGCAAAAAATTCTAACTGTAATCTCACTTCATACTCTGAAAACTGGAGGGCAAGTCGCTTAGAGTATTTGTAAAGAGGAACCCTTTATTTACATGCAAAAGAAACCTGATGAAGACAAGTCATACAGCTGCTAAACTGGGCTTACCTGTTGTTCCAGTGTGATCATGTATGGAATAGTTCTGTTATTTGTGGGTAAAATAACCTTTAACACTTAAATTGCTTAAAAAAAAATGAGCAATCAACCACACTATACTGTATTTAATAAATACACAGAAATGCTTACAACTTATAATAATGTCCTCCACTGAGCCCACAGTACAAGAGAAGGGTCCAGTCATCACAATGTCTGGAAAAGCATATTTAATGATAAGCCTGTGCTGCTTGATCCAAAATACCCAAATACACAGTAGCAATGATCCACACCTCAATACTATGACCCAAAACTGCCATTGACGTGCCTTGCTGGAAGCTTTATGTTGAAGGGAGATGGTTTCTGAGCAGATAGAAGCTTTGAGGGTTTTTTTGCATTCTGAGTTTTTGTGTGTTTTGTTGTTTGTTTGGTTTTTTTTAATTTTTGTGTTTATATGAATTTGTTTTAAAAAATGCTTTGTTACCCTGTCTCTAAAGACTTGATTTGTCAAATCTCAACATGAAAATGATCTTACAGTTGTTGGTTGTAGCATCAGGGTTTCCTCTGAAGCAATATCTTGGCTTTTTACCCTCTAAACTCTTGTTCAAATTCACAATTTCTCTACTTAACCTGGCTCTCCTATTTACAAAGCAGAGGACAATCCATGTGACTTTCATTAAAACTAACAGGAGCTATGCAGTTAAAACCTTTGGCACCGCTTAGAGCCACAGATTCAAGCCTCAGCAAAGAAATGTTGAAGGTTAGTTACTAATGACACCTTAGAATGACATTAAGTGGTGCTGTACAGCCAGGAGTGTCACTGCTCACAGAGACATTAAGAATAATTCTTGACTAGGGTAGCAATGATTAAGGTCATCTGATAGCCCTCATCTCCCAGGAAAACCTTTAAAAGCTGTAGTGGGAATGCTAATGTTAACAAACAACAAGGAAGGAATACTGCATTTATTTATTTATTTATTTTAAATTTCCAAGTTTACAGGCCACAGCATGTAGAGGAGGCAGCCTGAACAAAGAATGTATTAAATAAAGGGTCATCTGTAAATACATCTTTCCACCATATTAATCAGTATTAGTATTTCTTAGAAACCTCTGGTTTAAAAGCTTGGCTTTTCATTGAAAAGGATCTTAAAATGAAAACAACAATAATAATCTTATACAGAAAGGAATCTGGATTAGAGATATAGCAATGATCTGTCTGTATGATATTCTTATGATCCCTGAAAAAAAACATACAGCATCTGTTAGCAATTCTGCTCTGGGGAAAAGGTGGGACTTGAAAACATGACTAGTGATGATTTTTCTGTGTTATTCTAGCTATACTGGATTAGCTAATCTATTATGGCCTAGATTTTGATGAAAAATAACATGTAACAAGCCATGAAGATCTGTAAAATCTGCATTTGTAGCTTCTTAAATACTTCCACATGATTCCACATAGTTCCTCCATCAATTGGTACACCTAAGCTGGAATCATTTCTGGGTTTCAGAGCCTTCACTCATGACAGTAATTATCAAAGTTTTCTTTCTGCTAGTAACTTTCATGCATTCTTGTATAGCAGGCAGGACCTCAATCTGAAAGTAATTCTAATAGTTTCAATTTGTGGAGAAAGACTTTTCAGCATAAAAGTAACCCGAAAGTGTCCCCCCTGTACTTTAAGGGAAGCTGACAGCTTTCACTGTGATTTACTAAAAGTAAACACAGAAAATGCTCTGCCTTGCCACATCACTGAATAATAAGCATTGTTCCTGGTGCTCTTTCCCAAAAATGTGATGCAGTATCTGCATTTGCCTTGCACTGTACCATTTTTCACAGGGGACAGGATTAAAGTTTACAGGTCTATTCATGTGCTGAGGCACTAATAAACCAGAATAATAATACCAAAGGTGGGCTCTTGCGGATATTAAGTAATCCTGAGTTCAAAGTTTAGTACGATTTTTAAAGTACTTGTGCTTGACTCTTCCTGCTCTCTGGGATCCAGACTCATTTCCATTCTACCCTCCCGTTCCAGCCTGCTATCTTAATTTTCTTTATGCTGACTCCTCGGTATGTGTAAATCAGCACAGATGCATTGGCTTCAGTGACTTAAACTCAGATGCATTTTGCACTTCTCTGCCCTCTTTTAGCAAGAACAATGCCTGGGAAGACCTAATAAACCCTGTTACATGTTAAGCAAATGAAGCACAAATGTAATCAATATACAATAGAGTTACTGTATAATGAACTCATCATCATAAAGTCATCATCTCATTTTAATTTACAGCCCTGAAAGTGAGAGATAAAGTTAAAGAATTGACAGGAGGAGAAAGGAAGGATCTCTGCCTGCATAGGAGAGCTAGCAAAGGAAGCCAGGCAGAAAGAGGTTTCTTCTCCTGTGTGCAACACATGAGGTACCTCTTTAGTGAACTTTTTCCACGGCTGGAGCAGAAGAGAGAACAAAAAGTCCTGAAGTGAATTTTGTGAAGAAAGAAGCCTCTTCCTGCCTAAGAAGCACTAAAAAGGACTGCTCACAGTGAAATACATTTTAAATACCTTTTGGGGAGAGTATTTTTGTCCTCTAAAACAATTTTTTGTGACATTGGAAAATCACTAGTTCCAAAACAACCCTGCTGCCTGGGACAGCAGGCAGAACACTGGGCTCTACAACTGCTGCCCGAAACACCGTCAGCCCTGCACTGGCAGCAAGTGTCACCTTCATTGCTCAGGGACACAGAGTTACAAAAGGGCATTTTCAAGCACAAGACCCACCAGTTTTCAGTGGGTAAAAAGTTCCTAAAGGTGTCAGACAACTTTGCACGCCTTCCTATAAGGTAAGGATGGCCGTACTTTAGAGTACCATTATCTCCCATTTCGGCTCCAGGGCTGAACCTGTGCCCTGAGCAAAGAAGCAGCACCAAGTTCTTCTCCATTTGATTCTGAAGGGAATGCAAAATCTTATGATTGTCCTTATTAGAGCTGCTATACTGGCTTAAAAGCAGTATAATTCTGTAAACAAAGATATACGAAAATAAATCAGCAAATGCACTTCCCACTGGCTCCTGTCATTTTGCTTATTGCTGTCAAATGATTGTGGGGAACTTACATCTACATATTTTCAAAATTCTCTTAAAGGGTTATTGATTCAGAAAGCTATATCAGAAGCATATTATTTGTTACAGCTGCTATTTTCTTACTTTCATTAGCCTTATGAACCATTCCCACAGAACTTGGGTAACCTACCATACAATAAAACAGGAGAAATGGAAACGTACAGTCTCTTGCTACCCAAAACCACAAGTATCTCCCACTGTCCACAAAGTGCCAGGGAACACAAATAGGTATGTCACACAATTTATACTTAGTCTGTCAAGTTCGAAAAGGGGCTCGGGATCAGTTTGATTGCAGTCAGTGAAAACACTTTACCAGCTACCAAAGCTTAAGATCACTGTAAATAAGGCAAAGGGACACTGGCTCTGCAAGGGTGGTGTCTGCTTAGATCCAAGATGGAAACCACTTTCCTTCTTCCATCTGTTAAAAGGTCATTTTCTTCAGCTGACTTTTTCTTGTGTACAGTGTAATCCCTCATGGTCTGTTATCTAATTTCTAATGTGGATTAAATTGAAAAAACATGTTCACATTCTGCAATGTACCCTGAAGTAAAAGTTATTCGTTTGTGTTTATATGCAATGGGGGCTGTAAACATCTATTTAGCTGTAGAATCTGTTTCTAAAATCGGTATAAAACTGGTTATAAAAGGGCTATTGCTATTTAAGGTTGCAAATTAAAAGCTCTTCTCTGGTGCTATGAAGCCAGCTGGCATGATAAACTGGAAGAAGGCACAGTGAGAGGGAAGAGAACTAGCTCTGAAGTGGGCAGAGAGGGGGGAGGGAGTTAATTAGGAAAAACTATTGGGCATGTCCACTGTAACCACTCCAAAACCAAACCAGAAGATATCTTACACCTTCCAAGCTGATTGACTGCTAAGGAAACAGCTGTCCTTTATACTACACCACATACAGGTATATCCTGTACACACATGCTGATAATACCTTAATTTCCAAGGTCAGCCTCATTAGAGCTGAAGCACCTTTGCAGGATGACAGTGCTGCATCTTCACTATCAGCACCTAGGTGATGGGCATCTGTTGTCTGACACTGTAGCACTCCCAAAACACTCTCATATTTCACCCAAGATGCTGAATGCACTATCCAAAAACAGCTTTGGTCTGGAAATTTCATGCCAAACCAAGTCTTTTGATCTCTCAGAATAGCTGACTGCTGATGACCCACTGGGAAAGCACTTCAGGTCCATCATTAATAAGCTCTGTCTTAAAGGGTAATGAGAACTGGGTGCTTTAGGAGACAATAGCTCATCCATCATCAATCAAGATCTCAAGTTTTTATACAGATGATTTAAGAAGAGTTGGACTGTGTAAAATTGAAATGTCACATTTGTATTGGGAGATGGGGGGAGCTGGGTAATGAAAATGAGAGTTTTAACCTTCTCCATTTCAGCTCAATGACCACACTCAAAAGCTCATGGATGTGGAATCCGTGTCCCAGCTAGAAGCCCCAGACAGCCTTCGATCTCAATTACACAATTTCAAGTAAAGATTATTTGGGTCATTAGCTAGAAGTCAGTTTAAAGGCTCGATGGTAACAGCAAGATATTCTTTATTTCTATCAAAAGCAATCAGTGTTATGTGCAGCCTGTGGGTCTGTGCTTCTAACTGCTCAATAACTAATGGCACTGGATTGTAGAACCTGAGCAT